TAGTATATTAAAATAATGCAAGGAACATTGCATCCTTATAAGAAAGTGCAAGGACCTTTACCCAACCATTCATCCCCAATCCTTTCCCCCCCATCATTTGATAATGGATTCCTCTACTCCTAATTGTCATGGCCTTTCCACATTTCACATTTCATTTTTCTACTTCATTGTAATAGCATCCACATTGCTATGCTCATCATCAGCAACAAGAGACCTTACCAAAAAATCCGAATTCAATACCTCTGATTTCATCAAAACCTCTTGTGGCACTACATTATACCCCAAATTATGCATTGAAACACTGTCACCTTACTCAAACTCAATCCAAACAAACCCAATGGAATTAGCCAATTCTGCACTTACAGTGAGCTTAAAAGGAGCTAAATCAACGACGAACAAAATCGCGAAGATGTCTAAAGAGGAAAGCTTAGGTCCAGCAGAAGCACATGCCTTAACAGACTGTGTGGAAAACATGGAAGATTCTGTTGATGAACTTCAGAAATCATTGTTGGAAATGAAGAATTTGAATGGACCAGATTTTGAAGAGAAAATGGGGAATGTAATGACATGGGTAAGTGCTGCTTTGACAGATGAAGATACTTGTATGGATGGATTTCAAGAAAATTCTGCTATGAATGCCAAAGTTAAGGCTACTATTAGAAATTATATTGTTAATGTAGCACAGTTAACTAGCAATGCTTTAGCTCTTACCAAAAATCTTTCCTCTTCTTAGTACATTAAATAAATTCACCACTATAATTTTTGTTCAGATGCTTTCCTTTTCCCATTTTGGAAAACAAAACAGAGCTTCTCTTCTTTATTTTCCCATTTTACGAGGAAAAAAATTGCGGATGCCAATATCTAATTACAGGCGAATCTAAGATTTATAGAATACTCCTCTCTGTTCCTAATTACTTGTCCACTTTTTTCTTTTATAGTTATTCTTAATTACTTGTCTATTTTGACAAATCAAGTAAGGACAATTTTTTTCACCAATTATACCCTCAATTAAATGACTAATTATTTTGAAAAATGCAGAACTTTTCATTCACTTCATAATTAATAGGGGTAAAATAATAAATTCACTATGTCATTAATTGATTTCTTAATAGGTGTGTCAATTTAAAAGTGGACAAGTAATTATGTACAAAGGGAGTATGAACGTACTATTATAAAAAAAATTAAAAATATTTCAAGTGAGAATTGATCCTAGTCATCATATTTGCCGCTTTTGACCCAATTAAGTAGTCAATTCAAGTCAAGTACATGTATCTTTAATATTTGATTCTGAAATGCAGATATAGAGAGAGCCGAGCTAGAGAGAAACGAGAGAGAGTAAGTTAGTGTATCCTAAATACATGCGAATCGCGCTTGGATATAGTGTATCTGGCACAAATCACACTTAATTTAACCCACATGTATCCGAGTGCCTTATATACATATGTTTGATGAAGTAAATCTGAGACAAAAGATAATTTATAAAACTAAAGTGAAAATAGTCATTAGATCATAAACTATTGGGATTTGTGTTATTTGCTCATAAAATAAGTTTGGTCCTAAGCCTCGAATTGCCATGTTTGGGCCTCAGACAGAAAGCCCAAGTGCCCAACATATTAACACTTGGGATACATCACATCATAGCCCAGTTGCAAATAATGGCCCAACTAATGATGAATCACAGCCGACAGCTGGTTTGAAGAATCTCCAATGAAAATCCTTAGATTTTGTAAGTTGTAACGTGAGAGAATATAAAATGAGCACTGTACAGCAAACTAAATTTGTTATTATTAGCCGATACTTAGTGGACAGCTGTATAGGAATATTCCTTTTGTTTTACCATTTTCTACCCTTATTCATATTAACACTGAAACTCAACGAAATTTGAATTCCTCTGCAAAGTCCCACATTAAAAGATTAAACGTTCCTAACTATCAAATTTTTGTTTTCTACATCATCTTAATCTATACTCTACGGGTTTGAATAGAAGAACTAAATAATTTTGATGTTTTCAGAAAGCAAAAATATTTGTCTGGAAATCTATATTAAAAAATTGCAAAACGTGACAGAAGGTTCTCAAGACTCAAGTTCATTCTTATTGCTTCGCTAATCAGCAAATTTTGTAATATAAAAACTTAATTGCTCACATGCGTGCCGAATTTTCACCATGAGCACCAGACAACACCAAAATAGATAAAATTAGGAGTAATTCTTACACGTAAAGTGTCCCTTAAGAAGCTTTCATCTTTTTCCTTAAAGAATTCATCAATCAATTGATCCTCGATTTGCCTAGGAAGCAATGTCCTCTACTTTTATTTAGGAGAACAGAAAGTTTGAGCTCTATATAATTTATTGTAAATTATACCTATGATCGCGCAATTATCATTTGATTTCACAAAAGTTACTTAACTTATTTTTATAGAGTAATATGTTAAAAACATCTAATTTAGATTATTTTTGTCCGGCTTCAACTTAGGAGCCGCTCAATTTTGAAGGGGAACATTTTTTCTCCCTATTGATCATAGAATAACATGTTTAAATCACTAAATCATGACTTAAAAATCCACATGATGAAGTTTCATTAGAACGTAAGCTTTCTCGTTACAAAACGTCTTGCCTAAGCCATAATTATAATTATTGAGGTTCATGTTCAACGTAAAGGAAAACACGCATCAATGCAAGCGTTTTCGGCAAGTAATTTTCCACTAACTTGTAGCTAGAGTCTAGAGACATCGCCTTCTCTTCTGCAGTGTTTTGTCCTTCTCATTTTTTGATCAATTTCTAGCCATGTTCACGCATTAATATCTTTAGTTGAATAATAAACTTTATAAGTATTGGCCATGTTATCTTCACGTTTCGTACGTACCTTAAAAAAATATGAACTACTGGACCTATATAATGTGCAATTAATAGTTGAGTATTGTAGGTGTAATTGATCATGTATTTATTTTATATACGTAAATTAGAAGTCATAGATCCACCTTGGATCTCACACGTTGATAAGTTGACTCTGCCGACGAACTCCAGGTACTTGAATTTCCCATGTGATTGCCGCATTGGTGACGGCGCCAAATAAGCTCATACGCCTACATTCACAACTCATTTTTGAGCACCAATTTTATTGTTATTTTATACTCACTTTTAAGTATCTTAATTTAATTATTAGACACAAAATGAAAAGAATTTTGAATTTTGTTGTCTGAAATTAAAAAGGCATAATATATAAATATGTCTTTTAATTTGGATTCATCTGACATGTATGTCTTTTAACTTTGAATGTCCACAAATAAGCTCTTAACTTGTATAAAATTGAACAAATAACACACTTGTCCTACATGATAATTTTGGTCCTATGTAGCGTTCTATATGTATTATGCCACATAGGACGTGCATGTCTACTTGTTCATTTTATACAAATTTAAGTATCTACTTATACATACCCAAAGTTGTAGGGACTAGAATTCAACTGAAATTAAGTTAAAGGGTATGCCAATTAAAAATATATGTAATGTATTAAAATGTCTTTTAAATGTTGTGGTTTTAGTAGGATATTTGACTTTAGGCAGATCAAAAAAGAGAATAAAATATTATAATTATCAAACTTGAACAATTAAGAAAGATTGTTCCTTCTGCCAATTTGTTGTCACTATAAATATATTCACATCTTCTCTCTATATTCACAATACAACATTTCTCCTCACTACTTACTATAGCACAAGAACTAATAATGGCGTCTAGTTGCAAAATCTTGATTTTATTGCAACTCTTTTCAATTGTTCTATTCTTCTCACAAACACATCTTCTAGTCACAGCTGCCAAAGACTCTGGGCAAGCCAACACTAACTTCGTCAAAACCAAATGCAAAATCACCACATACCCTTCACTCTGCCTCAAAACACTAATTCCCTACGCGTCTTCTGTTAAAGCCAACTCCACAAAACTTTGCAAAGAAGCCCTTAACGTAGCCACAAAAGGCGCACGAGATGCCTCTACCATTGTCTTGAATCTGAAAAAACAAAAGGGAATTACGCGATCCGAAGCCGCGGCTATTAAGGACTGCATAGAAGATGTGAAGGATGCAGTGTACGAACTGAAGCGAGCTGTTGATGCAATAGGACATTTAGGTGATAAAGATAAGGCATTTCAGTTGGCTAATGCTAAAACGTATGCAAGTGCAGCTATAACAGACGCGGACTCGTGCACAGATGGGCTAACTGACCAGGGTAAGGTAAATCCAAAAGTGATGGATGCAATAAATAGAAGTATGGCTGTTGTTATTAAACTTAGCAGCAATGCGTTGTCACTCATTAACCATATTTATAAATGAATGATGAATAGTGACAGTTTGTATTGAAAAAGTGGTATCCATTTTATTGCTATAATTAACATTGATTTTTCATTGCATTTGTAACGTTTGTACTAAAATTTGTGTAACAAATCCAAACGTAGAAATAGCAACAAACCACTTTCAATTTCAATTTGTGTGACAAACCCATACGTAGAAATAGCAACAAACCACTTTCATTTTGTGTGACAAATCCAAACGTAAAAATAGCAACAGATCACTTTCAAAGGAAACAAACTCCTAACAAGTGCAAAAACCAAGTTGCTGACTTGTGCACGTAATGTTCACCGTTTGGAACGGCGAGGTAAGTTGACATTTCACGTTCACAACTTATTTTAGATTTGCTTCCAAATATTTTGGCAATTTCCATAATTCTAACTTCGCATTACTTAGTGATCGATGAGTTATTTTGTAATGAACTTTTAGTAGCTTAGTTAGTGGCTACTTAGTATTGTTGATGAGGGTTCTCTGTCCCCATTTGATTTAGTAAGATCATTGAATAATTAACGTACAAAAATTTAAAATAATATTGTAAAATACAATAATTTGCCTAATGTTAAAATTTCATTAGACCTTGTCGTACTTAACAAAAAAAAAGGAAGATAGAACAAATAACCAAGTAAAAATAACTCAAAATACAAATACTAATAACCAAGAAGTTCTAAAATCAAGAGAAAGAGTAATTATCGGAACGTCTAGTATGCCCATACGATTCTTCCTCTTGCCAATTTGATTTCCATAAATACACGTTCATATCTTTTCTCTTTATTCCCAACACGAGAAAAATGGATGGCAAAACCTTGATTTTCCCCTTTTTAGCAATAGTTTTATTCATCACACAAACACCTACAGCTGCCAAAGAGTCCTCTAGGCCAGCTGCCTACACAAACTTCATCAAAACCAAATGCAACATCACCACAAACCCTTCACTTTGTGTGAAAACATTAATGCCCTATGCTTCTACAGTGAAAACCAACCCCAGAATACTTTGCAAAGAAGCCCTTAAAGTAGCCATAAAAGGCGCACGCAGCGCCTCTCTCATTTTCTGGAATCTGAAAAAACAGGATGGAATTTCCCAATATGAAGCCGGGGCTATTAGAGACTGCGTAGAAGCAGTGAAAACTGCAGTGCACGAACTCAAGCAGACTGTTAACACAATAGGACATCTAAGTGGTGCTGAAGATAAAGAATCTCAGTTGCATAACGCTATATCGTACGCAAGTTCTGCATTAACAAATGCAGAAACATGCATCGATGGGTTCTCCGAATCAGAGGAAAAGGTAAACCCAGACGTGAAGAAGGTGATAGATAAAAGCATCACTGTTATTAAAACACTAGCCAGCAATGCCTTGTCACTCATTAGCGATCTTTAATTTGTGAATTCAGAGACTGGATCCATAGATTTGGTGGAATTAATGCATATGACAATAATTAATTTCTTCTTATAATATTGTGGATCTGATATCATTATTTTTATTGTCTGCTTAAAGATACGTACCACCATAAATTTAGTTAGCTAGTTTGATGAGACTTGATCATGTGCACGCTATGGTTTTATTTAGAGAAAACACCTAAGAAAACCATTAAACTTGGCAGCACAACTTACTTTAACACTTAAATGATACGAGTGTTTAAATATCTTCCTAACACTTTGAAGTTTGAAGTGAATTAAATATAACCTTGAGAGTAGAATACCACTCTCACCTGCCATCATAGCCATGTAAGCACCACATCACAACCATATAAGCACTACGTCATTAATTTTCAATTTTTTTTTTTTGCTTATTCACCTTTTTTCACACTTTTTAAAATTCATTACACTAATCAATTAATTAAAAATGCATTTTAAAATCAAAATTGCTCCACCTTCCCCTCTCCCCCTCTTTCTTCTTTCTTGATTTTCACCATTTTCAGCCTTCACTGGCTTCTCTTTTTTCCCAGCCATTTCCAACCTTGAATAGTTGTTTTCTTCTTCAACATTCAGTAGTTTTTCTTTAAAAAAAAATAGCATACTTACTTTTTCTTCTTCAAACCCTCTCCCTCTCCTACAAATCTGCCACTCGGAGAATGATATTTTTTGAAAGTTATTTTTTTTCTTAACAACACTCAAATGAAAAATGAAGGTTGTATAAGAAAGTTGATAGATCCACATTTTTTGCATCACAACTAATAGAAATCAAAATAGGTCACTTAAAATTCAAGAAAGTTTACATTCAATAGTATGAATTACGTGTTGGATTTTGGGGATTAATGAAGGGCTGGTGAGGTGAGGGATGAAGATGAAGGAAAGATGACTAATATGAAAGAAGAAAGATATAAGGAGTGCTTCAATGGGTAAGAAGACATTTGAGGAAGACAAAATAAAGAGGACAAAAAGTTTTTTTTTTTTTTAAATCGAACCCACAAATTTCATTTACTTCTTAACAAGAAATTTCACATTTTTTTAAAATTTAACTTATAAATTATTATTTTTTTAAAATTATTAGTTATATATTGGCCAATAAAAAAAGTCATGTATATAATTTTATCATTTAGTATTTTTTATTTTTATTATTTCACGCGCTTCAAAATTGTTAAGAGGTATTTAAACGTCCGTATAATTAAAGTACTAAAGTAAGTTTTGCTGTCAAGTTCAAAGAATTTGATGTATTTACTCTTTTATTTAAAACAATTTCTTAGAGTTGGTTTTCGAAGATTGTGGTGCTTAATTGTGTTTGCAATTTGGAATATTCTTAGAGAGTTGATTTTCAAAGCTCAAACTTCTTGCATATGCTGATAGAAAATGGGTTGATTAAAATGTGGTTTCTATATATTGGACAGTTTAGTTACTTCAATAGCCATGGCAATGGAGCGGGTTGGATGCGGGATGGGATGGGTTTAAGGCTATGCTGGGGGGAGCGGGTTTAAGGTTGTGCGGGGCGGATTGCGGGTATATGTGATTTTATGTGGATTCAAACTTAATTTTAATTTTTTACAAGTTATAAGAATATTGATAGAACATTATTTATTAAGATAATTTCTTTAATTAAAGCTACTAAAATATTCAAGATAGTAAATGAAAAAATGACTCAATAAAAATTACTAATATGTACTATTTCTTACATGTTTAAGTCACTATCCAATTAAATTAATATAACTTAATGAAAAAATGAATTTATTTTTATGAATTTTATTTTTAGTATCAAACTTAATTAGAAAAAGAAAATATTTTTTTTAAAAAAATGTGGAGCGGGTTCATGCGGGGCGGAGTAGGGGGGTTTGAAAATGAAAAAAATTGTTATACGAGACGGGGCAAATTAAAAATTATACGAATTAAGCTTAACCCACCTCGCCCTCGCCCCACACCGCCCCATTGACATCCTTAAATTTCAACGATTGACACGTTGGTACAAGTTCTATGTAAAATTGGTATCTTTAGACCCAACACTTATTTAGAAAAAAGAAGACCTAAAAATAACATGGTTATGTATTCAATCTTGTACCCGGACCCTAAAATCATGCTAAGAATAATAATTTGCTATTTACACTCTAATGTATGTCCTTTTTTCTGGGTTGCACTTTATCATATCATTTTTAATGCTTTGCACCCTAATTACATCCTTTTCCTCGTATTTGAGGCTAATAATTACTATGTTAGTGTCATTAAAAACATCCATCTTGTCTCGCAGAAAAAAAAAAATAATAACATAATGTATGTAAAGAAAATATATTTCAACAATACCGGGACCCTACATTGAATTTGGGAAGGGAAGTAAAGCCCTAGGACCTCAACACCCTGTGCCCAAACTTGAATAGTGAGAAGGTATTTAAATCAACATCAATAATACAAATTAAATCATTTTCACGCCAATTAAATTAATACACTAGTTTAAATGTAAACTAATGTAAGGTAAGCAAACGAAGCGCCAGCCATAGCCATAGAGGACCAGCCAACGGAGGACGTGGCGGATGAGCTGCTGTTGGTGGTGGTTCTAGGACAACGAGGTAATGGGGTCCATGTGGTGGTTGGAGTTCCACTACGACCAGACCCAGTACTAGCCTTGGCTCCACCACTTACACCCTTTGCAATGCTAGGTGTCAGTAGTATGCTCATGATGATTGAAAGCACAAGCATAATCTTCATAACGTTTTTCATCTTCTTTATCAGCTCTTGCTAATATACTATCGAATTGTATTTAACTTTATATGTATTGATCGTGTAAAAGATAAAAAATCTAGACACTATCAAGATTATATATTTCCTTGACGTTCTTAGTATTTTGTCTTGTTATTGTCTCACGTTGGGTGTAAGAGAATAAGTTAATTTGGATATGTAGAAGCAACAAACACATGCATATTTATAAGGAACAAGGGAGCTGGTCATTTCTCATTACATAGAAAGGCAATTTGGCAAGAGAGGATTAGGAACTTTATTTGACTCTCTTAAAATTGGTCCAGTGTCCAACTTGAGAAGTAGACAATTAATTAGTCAACGTACAAGAATAGATGTAAGGAAATTTTGACATGTGAAAACAATACGTAGATTTTTATTTGATAGTGATGTTTTCATCAGATTTGGCATCCTTAATTTTCTTGTTATACATGTGATATATATTGGTGAAAATACAATAACTGTTGGGTTATGAAGGTGATTAGGGCGTCATGCGGAAGCTTGCAATTGCAAATAATATGGTTGATAAATTAGACGACACATAAAACTATACTAAAAGACATAATATTATTATATGATATGACCAATTGGCCTACATGATTAAAAACTAATAAAAAGACATTAAAACTGTAGAGAGTAAAATCTCCCCATAAACAAAAGTCGACTACATTGTGGATTTTTATTGTTATTGTGTTAGAAGAAACAAACCTATATTTATAGAGTCCTAAAACCTTTTCTTACTAGAAAAGGAGTCCTAAAAGGAGAGAATAAACCAAATATAAAAGAATATTATATTTTCCTTTCAAGAAAGTAAAAACATTTTATGGTAATGTTTTGTCTTTTCTTTAAGGAAAAATAAATCTTAAATTATGGTAAGAAAATCAGGGCAAAACCCTAACAATAACAACTAGAAAATGAAGAAAACAAAATATATTTATGTTGAGATGCGAATATCTCAGTGTTTTCCACTTCAAAAAAAAAATATTACAAGTCCAAAAGTAATATTCTTATTGACATCTCTCCTTCATGATACAATAGCCGATCAAACGTGTGGAATTAATCAACAAACTTAGAAAAAGAGTTGAGTCCAAAGCTAGAAAAAATAGGGAAAATTACGCGTATAAGCAAACATATTGTTTAAAGCCTCTGAGTTTTGAAGAATGGCAAAGTGAATAGAACAGGTCGTGCATACGTGATACAAAAGTATTTTGTCAAAAACGTATAGCAGTAAAAATCCAAGGTTAAGGAGGTTTTCTTAATCAATAAGGAAAACTACATAAAGTAGGAAAACTACTATGTGTAAGGTTTTCGGTGAAAGAGGTCGAGTACAAATAGGAGTCCAAGTTGAGGTCAACAAGGCTTTGTAAGCGGCAAAGACAAAGTTGAGTCGAATAAGGACTTGCTGGAATGCTGATCTATAAATAGAGGGTTATTTTCTTCAGAAAGTTTTGCGCACTTACATTGAGAGTAATATCAAAACACGATCAAGAGTTGAGAGAGTTTTGATTTTTATTTTGGGAAGTGCTGCGAGTTAAGAAGAAAAATTTGTACGATTGTAGTTAAGAGTTTTGAATACAATCAAGTGTTTGTGAGTAAGGTTCGTTTGACAAGTTGAATTACTTGAAGAACGATAGAAGACTTAAACCTGGGGTTTTTTTGTCTTGGGTAGTTAGGAATTAGAGTTTATAATTCCTTAGGTTACATAGCTTTGTAATCGTTGTGTTATTTGAAGGTTTATAAATAATATAAAGCACTGAGAAAGTTGTTATACGAAATTATTTATTGTTAAGCTTCAAACAAATAGGAACAAGTAGTCATTACGTGTTCCTGTATAGAATTCAGGAGGGTAGAATTCCAACAAGTGGTATCAGAGCGGGTTATCTTAATCAAGAGTCTAATAACTCGAGAGAAAGATCATTATGAGTTCTGCACCTCCTCTCGGACATGGTCAAGGGCAACACATCAACAGGCCTCCATTATTCAATGGTCAATATTACTCATGGTGGAAGACAAGGATGGAAGACTTCATTCAAGCCGAAGACTACGAGCTATGGGTTAGAATCACCGATGGACCATTAACTCCTACTATTACGGATAGTGAAGGAAACATTGTACCAAAACCTAAAGATAAATACGGAGAAGCTGACTACAAGATGTTGGGAAAGAATGCAAAAGCCAAATGCATTCTTGTATGTGGACTAGGACCTGATGAGTTTAATCGCATCTCAAGTTGTACCTCCGCGAAACAAA